TAAATTGTTAGATATGCTCAAACTTTCAGTTACCTCAAATTATTCAGTTACCCGTGATTAATGTTTAATCCTCCAGTAACCGAACGCCATTAGGGTGACGTTATTCTTTCGAAATATAGTCTCAATTAGCCGCCAATCGTTTCTCTAATCTTCGAAACTCGATCTCAAGGAAAATCCAATCGGACGATCGTTTTCAACGATGTACGTAATTAAATTGCCATTAAAAATGCATCAATCATCGGAGAGGGGGGGGAGGGGTGGCTGGTAGTGGTGACGAATGATGAGAATTAAAAACGATTGTCGTTTAAATTATAGTCGGTCAGGGAAACGGGAAATAGCCGCGCTTCGTCGTCGAATTATGCGCGGCATTTACCCGGCTATAATTCAACAAACGTTGCTGCAGAGAGAAACCTAACAGCGATTCCGGTCGGACATAACTTCCGCGAGCCGTTATCGCGGAACTCCACACCTCTGCTTTATTAAGTGTATACACACACACACACACGCTTTACCATGTTTCTTCTCATTCTTTAAGCTAATTTTCATCTGGAGAGAGCAGGTTCAATATATGTTCTAAAGGGAAGTATGTATGTATTTATGGATTAGCCGTTATTATATCGTTTCGAAAAAGGGACTTACAAGGGATATTCGCAAAGTGATACGCAACGATTTTTCTGTAACTCTGCTCGATTGTTTATGGAATTAACGTAAGAATTTTTCCGTATTTAAATGATGGTCTCGAAGGGAATTTCGTGGGGTTGTGTACGGTGTCGTAGATTGCAGGGTAGAGAGAACCGGCTTCCACACGGCGTATCTACGCGATAACTCGATTAGCCACGATAACCGAGTATTTATTAGCCCGCGAGATTTCATTTTGATATCCGCCGGCTCCCCACCCCGTTCCTTTGGCTCGTGCAGCGATGCGTTTCTCTGACCGGAAGTTGCACGTCCAGGAGTACACGCTTGAATTCGCCACGAGATACCGTGGAGGACTGAAATATCGAGGTGTTGCCGGAGGTGTACGTAGCTACCTTTAAACTAGAGACAGTACTGTTCTCCGAATACAATTCTAAAGAAACGTTAAAAATCGGATATTCCAACTATAACTATTTACCCGGAGAACATCGAACCTTATAGTTCCGTAAAAAACCTCTCTTCGTTTCACGGATTAATAATTCCATACTTTGAAGTAAGAAAATTCCATTAAAAAACTTTCGCTTCTTTAATATCGTTCCATAAAACTCGATCGTATAAAAATTCAGAGCAGGCATTAAAATAAAGGGAATTCTCTCTTCCGTATGTACGATGTCTTCGGGTTTTGCTGGCTCGTGAACACGTCCTTCATGCAATTAACCTTTTAATTTACAAGCGATATTTGTGTCGGCGCGACAATAAAATCGATCGTGGTTGCTTGCGGATATTATTATCCCTCTCCACTGTCTCGAGATGCATTAATTCGTCTACGAGCATCGCTCTCGCTCGCGCGCACGTCACAATCAGGCGATTTATTTATCGTCGCGATACCTTTATTGAAATTAAACGCTGAGCATATCGGGAGCAATCCGTTGAATCGATCGAGATATAGGTACGTATCGAATTACCGGCGGATTATCGTCGAGCGGGGAATCAACGCCGTTTGCCGTGGCGCACGATAATTATTTCTGCGTTAGCCATAATTATTGCCCGGGTGGCAATTAATTCCTGCCCGGGCGGCAATTAATTTATTGCGGCTTGATTAATTGCCGCATGCTCGCCGCCGAGACACAGTTCGTTACTGCGTCGGATCAACCTTTTTGCAGTGCGGTGGATTCGAGCCCTTTCCCCAAAAGAACTCGAAGATGGAATTAACATTAATCGAACAAAGCACACCTTCCTGAATTATTCTCTTTATTACTGAAACACTCTTCCAGTCTCTGCTTTACTAATTAGCCTAAAGATATCGAGGATCTTTTAGGCATTTTAAAGACCATTAAAGAGACACGTGATGTTTTTTCAACCCCTTTAAGAGACACAAGAAATATACGTATATAATATCTAGATTACCATTTTGCCATATGGTCGATTCGAGCCCTTTCCGCAAAAGAACATAAAGATGGAATCACCATTATCCGAACAAAACGTACCTCCCTGAATTATTCCCTTTATTACCGAAACACTCTTCCACTCTCTGCTTATCTAATTAGTATAGAGATATCAAGGATCTTTTAGGTATTTTAAAGACCATTAAAGTGACACGTGATGTTCCTTCAACCCCTTTAGGAGCGACACAAGAAATATTCAGGCATGACAAACTGTATCGCTTTGTGAATCGAGTACTGTTACGGGGTAAAGTAACGACAAAGAAAAATCGTGGACACTGTCGAAACGTCTTTCGTCAATCGACCCAATCCTTGCCGCCGCCCGAAGCGTTTTTCTCCGCCTGACAAAAGCGTGGAGGGCATCGATGATACGTAACCTTCGACGAGCCGAACCGCCGCATTTTTCTTTCGTTATCGAAGGAGGATCGAACGACAAACGGCGGTGCCTCCGGGCTCGTTTTGCGGAGGCATGCTATCGCGTGGATTTTCACTTTTCCCCGTGGACGACGGCCCATTTGCGGCGATCTTTGAGAACGATGGAAGAGCGATGCTCGTACCGTCGGTGAAGGATACGCTGTTTGGAAAACACGATTCGTTCCGTGCCCGCCGGCCATTGTGGTCCAGGACACGTCGAATTTTTCAAAATCGGCCAGGTAGCATCCCCGTTTCGTCACGCTGGTTTTTCGCTCCACCGTGACGCGGACAATGAATTAAATTGTTAGGGTTTATTCTTTCTGAACCGTGATCCCACTGTGATACGAATACGTGTATGTATAGGTGCTTAATTTGGCGAGTTACTGCGCGAATAGTGACATCGATCTGTTGTGTTTCTTACATAGCTAGGCTGGGGTTTTAAAATAATTTCTATTGAAAATATATTTATGAACGTATATTAATTTAACGCGAAATAGCCATCATTGATACTTTGGGGCCAGAAGTCCGTCGTTTAAACAATTGATATTTTTTTATTAATCGAGAACGTGGTACTATGTATCTCTGTTTAGCAAAAAATGCTAACTAATAATTTCAATGTAATGGTTTCGATACTGTCATTCGGATACAGTCGTCTGGTATCGTTTATGAAAATGAGTAGTAAGATTTTGTAATGTAATTCTTCTAATAATACTAAGTATCGAGATACCGTATCAAAGACCAGGACTACTCCTTCTACAGTTTATTGGAAACCTTGATACACTCGAGCTTAATTATAAATATTAATGGATCGTTACAATACTATATTTACAATGTAATTCGATCGAGCAGGTGGATGGATCTTGGTTCGGTATTGTTCCGGTTGGAACGGAACTGAAATCTGCGAATCGTCTGTTCGATCTCGACGAGAACAACAAAACGGGTTCTGGAACGACCAGGAGGGGAAATTAATATTTCGCTGGCTGACGATCAGATGTCGCGCGGGCTGGGAAGAGATCGACGGAGATACTGGAATAAATATGAAGACGAGAGCTGAGCTACGTTTCTTTGGCTCTCTCCCCAGATACGCGCGGGGTGGTCTCACGAAATATTATTTAATCCTCGCTGGCCGTTCTCGCGATCCTGACAGTTCTACCGATGCTCCTGCTTCTCGAGACGAATACAAAAAAGAAAAAAAAAAAAGAAAAGACAGGGGGGATAAAAAAAGATATTGGAAGGAAGTCAAGACACAGTTGGTCGCTGTATATACCATATGCGTATGATATTATAAACCTAGATATTGTGGCTGTTTGTTATATAGCGTTATGTATAATCGTAACGTTAATGGTATTATTCGCGAACATTCAGGAACCTCGGCCGCACGAAAACGCCCGAGTCAGTCGAAGTCTAGACATTTTTTTTTTTTGTTGCCTCAACGAATCAGCCATCATCTCATTCACAAAGTTTCTGGAATTAAATGGTAGTTATGAAACGCGAGAGAAAGAGCGTGGTTACATCTTACAAAGTAATTGGATGCTAATTTGTTATCCGACTCCTCCATTCAGACATTTGATATTTAATGAGTCAATTAGTTCTTAATCAGGCTCCGCAGCTGATAAAACGTTCCAAGCCGAATTCGATTAATATCTCTTGTTTGTTCAGCTGCGGATCAAGATTCCATTAATTGTTGCGCGTTCCTGAATATGGCGAGTAACATGATTGGGCATACTTAAAATCTACTGAATCTCATCCGCGGCATTAAGTGCCTGTTATCTAGTTATTTATTTTAATCTCGTGTAACATCGACCGCGCGAGCGTAGAGAACACAATAAACTATCCTATACGGTCGCATGATCTTTCTTTCTCTTTTTTTTACCTATTTAAAAATCATGTTTTCCGCTCGCACGCTCGGTAACGGAGACCGTGGCAAAATCCTCGACTGCTAAATTCGCGTTTAATCGTTATAATCGACGGACGGCAACTCACTTGTACGCGCGATAAACGAGAAACTTTATCTTCTTTGCGAGGAAAAAGATGATGAAGATAGAGAATAGAGGAGAAAGCATTGTCGTGAGAGAGATGAGCGAGTTCAATCGGTAACGATTTCCCGACATGTCACTTTATCGACGGTCAATCATTTATCAAAAATACAATCACACGTCTAATTGCACGGTTATCACAATACTTGACAATACCTCGATTCCCTTAGATTTCAACTATATTCGTCTAAGTAATCCTCGCTTCGGATGCATGAATTTTTAAGTACATTTCTTACCGAACTCCGTCTCGTCTTCTTTATCGGCCGTCATTATTGTCGTACGCTTTCTGCTTTATCGACCGAGTCAACGTCAACTTTACCGATCGCGTTGATTCTTTACCGACGCGGAGAGATCGTCCTCGCAATTACCAACAGAGATTTATCTTCGATTGCTCCACGGATACGCGCGTACCCGGAGAATGATCAAGAAGAAGGAAGTGGAAAAGACTCGCAAGTACATTCGAGGAGGCCGTTCTTAATTGATTCTACCCTTGTGGGTCATGTAACTTATGCTGTCGGATAATAACTTTTCCCTGGCCTGTCGTCGCATTCGCGAGCACATGGCCAGTATCGTTCCTGCCATTATGCAGAGGAAACCGCAAGCAATTCCTATCATTGTGCTGAGAACCGTCGATCTCAGGCACACTCTGTCGTGGGCTGATTCACTGGGCCCTGAAGAAAATTCAAACACAGAATAAATAAAACGATCATTTTACAATCGATTTCCTTTATCGATCAAAAGTACAACGTTACCGCTTCGATAAGCTGTGGTCGAATTCTGGAAAAATTCAGTATCAGCCTCGCCTTCCTGGAGAACGCGCAACGACTGGAAAAGGTTCACGTTCTCGGACAGGCTGGTCGCAGGTGTCGATGGCCCACCACCGATCTCTGGCAGGGAACGTTTCGCCACGTTCTTGGCGTTCCTCCAGTGGCACGGTTGGCTCTGAGTAATTACGAGTGGCAACAGGTTGATAAAAGCTTGAATAACTGGGCCATAGACGGACGATCGATGGAACATTGTTAGGTCGTTGTGCTTACCGGACATCTCCCGTGGCACATCCTGACGTCGCACTCGATGTACAAAGCCGGCGAGCCGGTGAACCTGAACGTCTTCATATAGGCGAACACTTGGGTCTCGAAGAGGCCGCTCTCCGACCAGGATCCACGGAATCTACTGATCAATTTATCATCCACGGGACATCCGTACTGATCGATCAGCTGGATCCGCTTGTTGCCGCCGTTGTGCGCGTAGCAATCGTTCACGACGATGTCGAAACCATCTGGCGCAGAGAACGTACGTTTTATCTCCCGATGCATTCGTGATATTCAATAAACGAAGAGGAACGTCTCGGATCGCTGTCTAATCTAGCCCACATAGATTCGAGTCTGCTGACTGAAGGCCGAAGGCGTTCTCATATATTATGATCAACGGATATGTATATTTATGAACTCCAATGGAAGTTCACTTTAAGAACAGACGGACACTGCATTTATCACAGGACGAGTCTATATATGTATATACATAGAATCGTAAAAGATAATCTTGATAACCATGTCGTACGTAGTTTTGCCCACCGACTGAACGAATCGTACGATACTACGTTTGATAGTAAGAAGAAATTAAATTTTCTGGTTCAGTACCGAAGTAGTACCGAAGATCTTTCTAAAAAATCGCTGATCAATCATAGTGTGATCCCTCCAGAATTGATTTAAGAGAAGGGGCTGGAAATCCCTTTGAAAGTATCGTCAGAAACGAAAGCTTCTGACGATATTTCCTCGTATCGATCCCACCCAGGAGAAAAACACGGTGTCGTCTAATATTCGATCCTCCATAGGAAATTCAAGGGTAAACGGTGCTCGTTCGTCCCGTTACTCCGACGAATAACACCCGGCAGATGTTACGTAGCGCCACGCGATTAGGTTTGATCCGTGGGAGGATCGAGGGAAAAGGGGACGATGCGGTATAAGCGAAAATGCGTGCAGTTATGCGCCCGCGTACCGTATTTGCTGCGCATGTAGATAATGAGAGTCAGAGGATCGCCGACGCGAACTGGTCCAGCCACTCTAGTTCCAGTGGTCCCGTAACCGTATCTGATTTCCATGTAGCACTCCGGTGGCTGCAGGGTGAACACTACGGGATTTCCCGTCGCCACTCTGGAAGAAGATACACATCGCGTTAAGGCCCCGTCTGGGTGAAACCGGCTGCCCGTTATCCGGCACTAGGACGACGACTCAACCCTGGCCCAAAATCTGACGCGTGAACGCTTATCTATGGGAGACTGGATTAACCTGTCTGATTAGGTAGTCTAATGTATCGGTGTGTGTAATGTACGAATAAATTGATTTATCCTACAGCGTTATGCATGTGTGTTTTATACATGTTCGAGAATATTGTTACTAGACTGCGGATTTTTATGCAAAATAACATTTTTTTAAGTAATTTATAAAGACAGGAGAAAATGTAGAAATTCATTTTTCCTCTTAAGTATCTTATTGCGGTCAGAATAAAATAAGAAACTTGTTCGATCCGATGAAAGTTTTGTATTTTATTGTATTTCATAAATCCCTCTAAATCCGCAGTCTAGTTATTACCTTATTTTTTCATAGTCGGTAATGAGACTGTATGGAGAACTTCGGTGATAAGATATCGATTGAACCGACCGTATTAAGGTGCGTATCCATTTCTTTCCGACTTCCAAGAATTTCGTAATGCCTTGCAACGTTCACTGCATATTTGACAAATGTTCTGATACTTAGGGAGTGTACGTCCAAACTTACTCGACGTCGAGAAACGGAAATGTGACGGTCTTCCAGAAGTCGTAGCCGTACTCGCAGGTCACTTTGAAGTGTTCGTCGAACTCCTCCTCGATCAACGGGTTGTATTGCACCGTGACCGTGTTCCACATCAGGTTTTTCTACAGTGTACACATCGTAAATCGTTAAAACGCAAAGATGCAGAACAGAAATGCCGCCGTCGAGTCAAGAACAAACCGATCTCTACCCTCGGCCGCGTCTTTGATACCGATTAATCGCGTTTCCATGCAAACAAACACGCGCGCAGAGCACCGGTATAAATCAGAGACGCGGTTTCGCCGGGGTCGTTTAATAAATCATATAAGGAGAACGTAACAGAATTATTAACATCGACCTCCCTCCCTTTTACGATTCAAGCCGACACAGAGTCGCGTGGATTAATAAGCCGAGTCGCCTGGACACGGTCGATCGTTAAACGCCCATGTGTGGACGATCGCGAAATAAGAGCTGAACGAAGAAGAAGAAGAAGAAGAAGAAGAAATGGGGGGGGGCCTCGGATGATTTTTCCGCGGTACGTTAATCATTATTATTCCTTGTCAAACGACGCCCGGTACTCACGCTGTGTTCGTAACGAACCGAGGGGCACTATTCCACGGAACACGCTCGTTTTACCTACCGTAGGATTCTTTCTGCTGTCCTGATGATGAGTGTTCTCGCCAAGGGTGCCGCAACGATTCAACTGAATGTAGAACTCGTAGTAATCGCGGCCCGTCCCGTTAACGTACATGCAGTCCGGATCGTAGGAGTAGCCTGCAATTAGAATCGATTGTTCTTAGTGGGCAGACCACCCGTGCACCTTCGCTGGTGTCTGGAAATTACCATCATTCTACACGAATCTGTGGAAACAACAATTGGCGTTATCTCTACAGACTCGGTTCTAGAGAAATCAATATAGTGAATCCTTGATGAGTGTTGGAAGGCTCGTCGGCACTGAATATTAAATATTTCATAAACTAATTCCGCTCAGGGACTTAAACCGGTATGATTTTGATATCGGTATTATGCCATCAAAGGTATACTGAAACCGATATATTACCGAAAACCGAAATAAATACCGATATTTTTTCGGTTTCTATATGGGTAGGGCTTATATAGAGTTATATATATGAAAATACCGGTACGATACCGATATAACACCGATACCTGATACCCCCAATTCTCCATAGAATTAAATTAAATTCAAATTCAATTAATATTTCCCCCTTGACGTAGTCGTTTGAAGAATCGCGGATCTAAGAACGGTTGGTTCGGCTTTAGATCACGCACAGAGGAAAATTGGAATCACAACGGTGGTCAATAAGGACGCGTTATTTTCCAGGCGGATCGCGTGCGCCACGCGGGGACGCAACGAGTCCTACTACTTTCAAAATAACGGAAGCGCACCGCGTCCGAGCGTGCTGGGCCGGTGGACTCGTGAAAAAGGAAAATTCTCCAGAAAGAGGGGACGGAACTCGATGGGTTTACGATAATTTCTGCCATTAGCTCGTCACTACCGGTACCAATCGGACCGTACTGTCGAGCAAAGATAATTGCCGATTCCGGTGCACGGTCGCAGGTTTCGAACGTGATATTCCGTCCAGCTCGATCCAGCTTTAATGCATCCGAACGCCCGCGGCCACAATTTCACCGTTCGCGTCGCGATGTTAATTTCGCGAGTGGCCATCGCGGTCCTCGCCCAGAACCTCTCACCTGCCGAGTAGAGCAGACCGGCGAAGGAACCGTTGAAGCCGATCCTGATCTTCATGTAGTCGTCTTGGCACTCCGCCTCGATGTCTGCAACAGGATTTTAATTTTTTACTTGGAAGCTTAATGTTACGGACTAGAATGATTGAGGTCATCCGTAAATTTTGCTTATTTCCAACACATTGTCTACCGTTTGTTATTTAATTGATTCTGTAGATCCAACGATCAACAGCCAGGAAGTAATATTAAACAGTTCAATTACAGTCATGGAAAATAGAAAAAAGTCTAATAGAATAACGTAATAATTGCTTGTTTAAACTTGATCTAAGCTAAAACCGACTCCTCATCTGTGAGCATTGAAATTTAAAAATCTATTAATAGATTACCAGTGAGTAAAGTGTCGGAAGTTTAATAGAAGTCTCCAAAATTTCTATTCCACTCTTCTGGGCATCCTTTCCAACACGAAGAATCTTTAACATCAGACTATAACTGAATCAGTCTCGTCCAAAGCGTTCTCCTAGCGGTACCTATTACAGTGAACCCTCGATGAGTGTTCGAAGATTCCCAGGCACTGAACATTAAATTCAAGCGGAATTTCAAGCTCTACCAATATGCTAAACCTCATTAAAAAATCAGCATTACACTTTAAGATCGCTCCTTGTCAATGCCGAGGATCCTTCGAGCACTCATCGAAGATTTCCTGTAATCCTAATCGAGCTATCCACGATCTACCATCAACATCTCACACGTGTTCATAAAAAATGTCCCCAAACTACAAACATATGAAGAGCACATACAAGAAAGCCCGATTCGGGGATAGATGGTGATCCCTGGTGTCGAAATTGTCGGAAAAATCGAGCACATCCGGTGGGTGGAAAGCTGCGGGGAAAACCGGTCGCCGATGACGAGTGAAAGTGAACCCCGCCGTGGGCCCCCCTTTATAGGCGCTCTTCGTGGTAAGAGGGCCGTTTCCATCGTAAACGACGTAATCCAACGGGAGTAGTGTGGAAGATGTACGACGGCAGATGGAGGCTGCCGATAGTCACAGCCGAGGTGCTACGACTCGATGATACAACTTTTCGTCCGGGCGTGCTCGAGGAGCCAGCAAGTTGGCTGGCCAGCCGTGTGCTGGTTGCACGCGTTGCACGCGTTTTCGAGCGGGGCGAAGGTATGCACCCGCGGGGTCTGATTAGAATTGCGGATACGTGCTTTGTGTTCATCGGCCGGCAAAACGTCCGAGGGGTGAACAATGGAGGCGGTTGCGCAACACCGATACCCGCTCGAGTACGCACCCGTAGAAGTGTTTCGGCCGGGGCCAGTTGAAGATTTTTCACTCGCGATTCCGTCCGTGATTCGGGACGTCCGAGAAATCGCCACATACAGGGTGTACGAGAAAGATGACTACCCCAGATTGACTCGAAGGAATGTAGTTTTAGGAAAAAGAAAATGTTTTTGGGTTTAGAAAGAGGCATCTGCTGGCGACCTTGATATATAGAGGTCATTTTGAGGTTAATTGGATTTTTTTAAATGGGAACCGCTATTTTTAGCACCAGAAATGGAAAGAACGGTTATTTCAATTTAAAAGTGTGACCATAAGTTCATCAATGAAATATAATGTTTTAAGTGAAGGTATTGGTAGAATATCTGAATGTAAAATTTTCCGTTCTTTCCATTTCTGATGCTAAAAATGGGAGTTCTCATTTAAGAAAATCGAATTGACCTTAAAATGACCTTTAAATTTGATCCTTACGTCGTGATCAATGTCTCATATTAAGGGCAGTCTTTTAAAACCATTAGTTTTGTACTGCTTTATATTTTCTCTATTTCCATAATAAGTAATAATAACACAAAGGCTTCAAATTTTTTCACAGAAAGAATTAATGTTAGCCTCGCAGTGCTCTTCCATTCGTCGATTACCAAGTTTGCGTCCGTGTACAAGTACCAAAAAACTTCTGGACAGACGGTGTACGACGACGTTTCGTTTCGATATTTTTGCGAGAGTTCCATACACGACGGTACACAACGCGTTAGAGCCTAATATCAAGGTGTGAAACTTTGATGGATACCCTGCCACGGAGAAAATGGTAGCCTTGTTACGATCGGGACTTTCCAGGCCGCGTGTGTCTAAACGAAAAGAAAATTGCACCATGAGGGAAGAAAAAAAAGAACAGAAGAATGATCGTACAAAATCATACCAAGGCCTGCCTCCATTTAAATCCCATTACTTACTGTCAGTCGTGTTGGATCGCAACGAACGAAATGGAACGAATGAATCCCAAACTAATGGTGGTTGCTGAAACCTAATTATAGATACACACTGGTGTGGATTATCGTATATTCCTCATTATTTTATTTTTTTTTTATCCGGCGAACATCTCACAGAAGCGACGGTTGTTCATCGTTAAAGAATCGTCTTGTTAATCGTTCGCGTGCTCGGGATCCTTGGCCAGGCTCGCAATCACAATTACAGTCGTTTACGATGCCTTGACCTACGAACCGACGTGTATCCACATCACTTTCGATACGCGAGCTTCCCCGTCGCGAAATCACGAATAAAAAGGAACAATAATATTCCTTGCTGTATGGTGCCGTACGAATCGTGGGGTAGAAGCGACGACGACGATGATGATGATGGAGAGAGGTGGCCGGCGAAGAAACGAGAATGAAGTCGGTGGTGCTGTCCGAGGTTGCAGAATCGTGCGCGCAGAAGAGGATACATTAAACGTAATGAACCTTCTTTCGCGTAATTGACGATACCGCGGGTGGCCTTTGCGTTTCCCGCAGAGATCAGGTTTTATGACTTCATTGAACCTACGAACATTGGAGTTGGAGGGAGAACAGGAGGAATCCATCATCGACGAACGTGGACGTGGACGAATGTTTTGGACAGCGTGTCGAGGACAACCGAAGAAGGGCGCAACGGTCTTTTATTTCAGACCTTGCAGGATCAGGTACTAAATACTTTGCATCCGTTTGATCTTCGAGAGATTACCACGTTGCAATACCGTTTAAGGTATAATATTCTTTAATGATTTTTTTCTGCAAGAAACGATTGATCTACCGTGATCTTCTTAGTTTCATGGGAAAACTCTAATGAGTACTGTAAGTTGAGATTACTTTGACGTGATAACGAAAAGGTTAAGAATTTGCAGTGCTGCAAAATCGGAAATGATCATTTTCTGACTTAGGACAAAGTTACCCTGACTGAATCGAAGTTACCCCAACTTACGGTATTGTAATCGACGTGTCGATCGTAATCGAATCGTAAGGCAGTTTCTCGAACACATCTCCGGAGCTGGCGAGAAATTCCACGATCGATTCAACGAGAGAAATTAGCTGTAACGTCGTTATTTGAAAAATTGCAAGCCAGCAAAGGTCACCGTCTCGTCGGTAGAAGGTACGATTCGATCGGTGTGATCCAGGGGCGGATAATAACGATCGAACACCGATCGGGAGGTGTCGACGTCCAAAGACGAGAACGTAGACGTCGCATCGTCGAAGGCGTATACCTACTCCCGATGTCGGGAGTGCCGTACGGCTTTCCAACACCGTTTTAATTGCGTCCACTCTAACGGTAGCCATTCGCCATCGCTGTCTGGAACCCGGAGTGTCGGGACGCTGACGTCCACAGCGACGCTCGGACCGATTCTCTCTGGATCGATCGATCAGGGGGCTTAGATCATTTCCTGGCTCGGGGCGAGGTCCTGTGGTCGATCCCGCGAGCCACACGAACGGCAATAATCACGGGCGTGTTCGATAACGGTGCCTCGAGGGGCGAAAGTTCATGCTTTACTTGGCGAAATTACGATCCTTTTTTCTTATTAGTTTGCACAATAATCCTCCAGACCAGGACGTTGAATTTCATAAATACGAAAGTCGGCAAGTTGAAAACGTTTAAATTTGAATGTCTGATCAGAGTGGGACACAGTTTCGTTCGAATAATACAGTGACTCGGATATTTCTTCACATACTTTTGAAATAATAATTAGGTGTCAAGACTTTTACGCAATTTCTGTTTTGATATTCTTTTTATCATCCTTTTCTGATAAACATTCCTTAACTTTGAAATAAAATTCACAACAAACTTGTGAGACACTGTAGGTACATAGTGAAGAGTCTACTTGTTCAAGATGAAATATATTATAAAAATTAGAATTTCCATTTTTAATCAGTAAAAAATGACGGAGTACTTATTAAATATTTCATTGGTTACTCAAAATTCTTCATTTTGATAATGAATTTGTCCTGTCTGTATGTCAAACCAGCTCCCTAAAATTTTCACACGATAAGCGTCCTCTTTTGAAAAAATAAGGACTGTGTGATCCAACGTTTGTCAGACTTCCTATTCTCCTGATCTCCATCGTGAATTTAAACAAAACTGTTTAACATTTAACTTCCTGACCTTTAAGTCTCAATTCCAGACCGAAATGGTGTCACGGTAGTCAAAGTGTCGGAAGTCGAAAAGTCCGAAAGCTCTGGGGCTTAAGCGCTAGCGCTGGTTCAACCCCTAATTCGTTTAATTTACTTACGCTGTACACGGGTCGTGTTAGGTCTGTATCTCCTGTGCTCACGGTCCCAGGTCTCCGGATGCCTCTTCCACTCATCATCGCCAACCACGCCCGTACCACCGCCTCCAGCGAGACCCTGCAGACCCTGAAGTGTTTGAAGTGCTTGGAGGTTCGGGCTGAGGGGTCGTCCTTTCAACGAGGGAACGGGCACGTACGCTGCGCCTTCGCCGACGTACACCACCTACGCACAAATTACAGCCTAAGTTAACAACCGTCCGAACGTGTACAAATTTATCTACATCTTCATTTAAAGTTCCTGTCTCTTCCCGCTGCGAACCAACGGAAACGATCATGCAAACCCGTACAGTTTCAACACTTCGGGTAATTAAAAAACTTCTAAAGAAATCTATTAGGATCCACGAACAATTAAGAATTCCTCGACAATTTTTTCACTTTTTTTCCTAGTATGTTCAAGTACATAAGCTTCTCGGGATGAATCAGGCGCGTGGTCGGTGGTAAACGCGAAGGACTAAAAAGTCGCAAACAGCCTCCACATGCCGGCACCCGTAGAAACAATCGTGTCGTTTCACGCTCTTCTTCTTCTTCCCATCCTTTTCTTCTGTTTGCCCCTGTTCTCGCCCCTCTCCTCCCAGCTACGCGTCCCTCCACGGATTCCTGTTCGTCTCATCAGCGGTTCTTGCGAAGTCCGTCGGCGAATCTCACTTCGTTCTCCCGCCCATCGTCGCAACGGCTGTCACGTACCAGCAGCTGGCGTCGCTCGCTCGCGTTCTATTTGCTCGAAATTATTGCTTTTCATGGATTCCACTTTTCAGGAATCTCTGGAACTCGAACGCGCGAGCCGACGGCACGATTGCCAGGCGAGCGAGCGTTTATGGGCCACTAGAGTAGTTAGAGGATCGTTCTTTCGCCGTATCTGCCTGTCTTTCCGCTTTATGGCGAAGCACGACGGACTCGGGCGTCTTTAGAGGTATCGTTTTCAGGTAACGCTTTCAGGATCGGAATGCTTTGCCCTGGTCGCGGAAGAGGATTCGGCCCGAGGAATGACCCGTTTCGAGGAAACGAGGCCGTTCCCTTGCCTTCTTTGGGCTTTTAGCGGCTATTGAGATTACGTTCGCGATGATCCTTCGACTGGCGGAAATACGCTGAGATATCGGGGAGTCTATTGATCTTTCACGAACCTCTGTACGGTCTCGTTTGCTCGACGGTGATTTCTGATTCTTGGAGAACAAGTTGAGTCATACTGATTATCTGGAAGTGTACCCATCAGACTTAAGGTACACCGACATTTGTTGCTTGATCTGGATGGAGAATGTACGTGATTATATTCTGCCATAAGTGGGTACATTTTACTTCAACTTTTATATAACGTAATATTTATTTGTAAATTGGGAAACTTCTGATCTGAACGCATAACAGAATTCATTCGAGGATATTTCCTCGGTAGCTACCTCGAGATTGAAGTTGTATGTACATTACTTTCCATTCCAATCTTCACCTCTAACACGCGTTGTCATCGTCTAAAACCGCCACGTGTCATTTTGTACGCGATCCGACGTTCGTGGACGGTGTGTTCCTTTTACGATGATCATCCTCGTCCGTAGCTCCGTTGCCTACGGTCTCTCGAGTCTCATCATGACACGCGCGCTCATGCGATGATTAACGGTCGCGCGGTTAGGGTGTCGAAAGTCATTAGTCCGGCTGGGATTGGTCGGACTGGCTAGGTGAACGTACCTATCATGTCCACGAGTTGGGTCTGTTAGTCTTGTCCCTGACCTACACCTGTCTTCCGACTGAAACTGGTTTAATTCGATCGAATTTGTCACTTATTTACGACACTTCGAGAAACGTTATTCTTTTAATTGTTTACAGTTGCGGAGAAGTGCATTCTTGGGTATTCACATGTATCCTCTTTATCAATTTTGCTACTTTGGTGGAATTTTGGAACGTGTAAATGAAGAGTTGTTACTACTCGATCTTCTTAGGATTCATCGGTTCTCCTTTTGTACATCTGTCAGTTCAAAAAAGTGACGATATCATGGATCAATTTGTCTGTCACAGTGGACGCCTATTGTATCACCTTAGTTACAATATTTGGAACATTTCTTGACGATCGGCAGTACGAAACTTCTTTGAATGACATCCAAACATTAGAAAAGCAATGTTACTATCGGTTATTTATCGTCAGCAAACACACTAATTATGAAAGAAAAAGAATGAAAATTTTTTTAAATTGACTCACATAGTTTTAAAATGATTACTGGTTCTTGACTTTAAGAAAAAAAATTCTGTACAGGATGCCAAAAAAAACCACAGTGAGCCGGTTAATTTAATGTTTAGAGGCTTCATATTCACCGCCGTAAAATCAGAAATAATTATCCATTTTCACCGATTAAGAATCACCGAACGACCAGCCGTATCTCAACCTGCCGATCGATTCCTTCTTCGATCTGTCGTTTCTTCTCCCCGTCACGCGAATAACCGATGGTTGCGCGAAACACGCTCGTATAAAATCGTTATTTTTCACCTCGCGGCTAGGATCTTTCGACTTTATCGAAGGAGGCCTGACAGCGCCTTCTAACAATAGGTGGTAACATGAGTAACCGGTGTTCACTGGAAGTTCGATTAGTTATCGGGGTGTTCGAACGCCGATTCCTGATCGTGTAACGATACTTACTGCGTCGTGGTCGCTGGCCTCGTGCGTTAACGCCTCTCTGGTCTCGTTGTGAAGCGAGTCGTCCTCCTCGGGGCCGGATCCGCTTCCGGCCCAGTAGTCCTCGGTCGTTTCGTCCAACACCGTGTCCTCGGCGTTCCCGTCGCCTTCTGTGTTCTCGTGACTCGTCGCCTTTGAAAGTATCATTTTACGCTTAATCCCACGCCTCGCGAAATGTCACATTCTGAAATTCATGTTTCATCTTTTAGAGGCTTTACCTGACATTGCAGCGACACGGTAGACAGCAACCACACGATCCCGTACCTGTAACGAGAAAGACAAACGAACTTTGTTAGATGGTCTTTAAATTTTCGTTGTCAGCAAATTTAACTTTTATAATAAGGAGTTCAACAAGGATAAATCTAGAAGTATCTCACCTATCTTCATATCTTCAAAAGCGTCTACAAGAGTGTAAGCCAGCTATCGTACGAAGAAACACGAAAATTCGCATACAGAATCCATAATGAGAGTGTCCTCCTTAAGAACAACTCGCGAGCAAAGTGCACATATATCAAGACCAAGGATTATTCAAGCGACGGCCACGACCTTCAATCCCCGAACGCGCGTACAGGTTCCCTCCGCGATTTCCCACCAAAAAGAATAGCCTGAGAAAGCGTCGAGGCCTCACGTCCACCGTTTGCACGTCCAACACGCGAATGTCGCGATAATAACGAAGGACAGTGGCCGATAGCGATCGCTGGGAGCCATAATCGGATCATTGCCACGCGTGGCTCGGTCTAATCGGGGGCCAGGATCGAGGGAATCCTCGTCGATGCGTCACCGGGAGTGCGCGTTTCGCATGCGAAATCGCTCGCTCTGAAGAGCGCTCCTTTGGACCGAAAAGGGCCCAGGGAATGCCGGTTATGGGACTCATGGGAACTTCGCCTAGAGCTCGTGGAAAACGAGGAAGTAGCCGAGGATGAGTCACGCGACGGCGAGATCAACACGGAGATGAACAAGACCCTCGGATCTCGTTGCGCTACGGGGCAGACGTAACTCGTTGCGATTCGTGTCAGTTCGGCTCACATACGAAAGGGACACGATGAATTCCCTGCTCTATCACCCCTTTTCCTTCTCCTCCGTTGGCTTTTCTTCGCCAACACCTCGCCACCCACCCTAGCGACCGTCCCGCTGCTCGTGTTCCGTCTGTTGCACTTCATCGACTTCCTTTCTCGAACGTTGTAACGGGTTTCCTTCTTTGACATCGATCTCGCCGGTTTTAACCCTTTGCGGTCGGCCTGTCTCGCCCGACTGACTGGCCACCGACACGAATTTATTTCGGTGTAGCGCGGGAGAATTGCTGGCCTCGGGATGGAGGTGAAATAGGAACGATCTAGCTAGTGGATCAGCAGGACGAATCCTAGACGATTTTAGGAAGTTTTTTTGTCGGGGATTTAGAGGTTGTGGTACTTTTTCCAGATGGGTAGAACGTAAGTTTTTTAGTGTTGACTATCTTGTTGAATAAGAATATCAGTCGAGCGTGACTGATCTTGATTAAGCTTGGCATAGATAGTATTACGTGAGGAATTATTTGTAGATATTCGAGGTGAAATGATTCTACTAGAAATCTTGAAAAGCAAGAGGAATAGAAAAGAAATTTCGTTTGTTCATTCATCTTTTTCCTTCTAGTTACGAATCGATGCCAACTAGACATCCCTTCCGCTTTAGAGATGGCGCCTTAGGGGCGTCAATCCCCTATATGGCCCGACGAATGCTTCCGTCTACATAAAAGAAGGTTGAATAAAAATGTTCTAGCATGAAACGAAGGAATTCCGCTGCTATTACTCATTTTATTGTATCGTTGATAAATGATTGGAAGCACTTTATAAAACCTCAGAATTTCCTGAACCCCAGCCCCGAAGTCAGGTTTCATTAAATATCTTACGTCACATAGCTCAACGAGTATCCAATGATCAGCGATCAAAATCACTCCATCCACTTCTCATCTCGTATCCTCTAATCCCGTCTTTCACGGTGAGCTGCTGATAGAAATCCAATCGTAATTGATGTAACCGCAACAATAACATCGCCTCGAACATCTGTTGACGATCCTAATCGCCTGCACCCAGACACGTCTATCGATGACCGATGCTAGTTACATCATGCAACTCTCTCGCAATGTGGAGAGCCAAGCTAACGATCCATAGCGCCCGTGAAACGAGAACGTCCGCCCACGTGATGACGAAAGGACGAATAGCTAACCCGTCCTATAGATTGTTCTACGAGGTTTCCCTCGATTGCGTTGCAAACAGTGAGTCTACGGGGATACAGTGAATTCTGGATGAGTATTCGAAGGTTCCTCCGCTTTGAACATTAAATATTTTATAAACTAAGGGTCATATGCGGCTGATAAAAATATCATTGGCCACAGAATTTCAAGCTCTATCACTGTCCCGAACCTCATTAACCCCTTGCCTTACGACATCGAGTCAGACACGTGATAACGATTTCAAACTGAATTTAGTTTTCTTTGAGTCGGCATGAAATACCGTTCCGCTGGTATTAACACTTAAGGTTTCGAATACCTGTAACATTTGCCAGAAGAAGAGAATTCCTTTTGTATCTCAGAAAATATTAACGATAAAGCTATTTTTCACAGTGAAATCGTAAAAGAAAAAATACACCTGGGAATCTTTCATTGTCAATTCTGAGTCTTCGAACACTCATCGAGGTTTTACTGTGCACCCAATCGGACCAGCCTTCCTTCCGTTTGCACATCTTCCGAGGAACGCATAATACAAGAGCCGACCCCGACGTGATTAACGGCGAACCCGGTTCTTCCGTGCAACGATCCGCGAGCCCGTCCCACGAGTAACACCTTCCGCTCCATTTACCAGCCGGCTGGCTACGTGCAAATAATTACGCCCGGCGAACACGATGATCCGCGGAGCGCCAGGCAAACAAGAAAACCGTACGAAATGTCTTTAACGAGTACCAGAACCGCCGCGCACTTTAACCAACGCGCGCGTTCGTTGCGAACCGGTGAACGGATAAGCGCAGGATCCATTACTCACTCGGCTATTCAGTTCAGGAATCGTTGCAGTTTTGTCTTGGTTATTTCTATTTCTCGAATTTATGCGCATAGCTCTTGTTGCTCCCAATTGTTCCGCGGTTATGATCAAGAACGAGCGGATCGAGGTGGGGCCTGAAAATTGTGCAAGGATAATAGCTCCCGGATGATCATCCTGGATCGTAAACGGCTGAGTTTTGTTTTCCTACGTTTTGGGATATAATTATTATTTTCATGGTAATTATGAATTTGATATTTGACACAGGACAGGGTGTTCGTTCGAGAAATCTTAAATGTAGGAGTTTGACAGGCGAGAAGGAAAGTCAATTTCTCTGCTGTTAGGAGAAGTTAATGCTCGCGCGCGTTTATGCGAATAACTGAAATTACGCGAGCCCCGAGCGTTCCATTACACGGCGTATGATAGTGATTATGGGGAGCCTGTGTTTATTGGCGGATGCTCCGGGTGATGTTAAATAAATGGAAGGAAAACTGTGTTTTTTACGATTATTTGCTCGTTGAGTCGGAACTCGGAGCTCACGCGTTCTTTATTCTTCATTGATATACAGGACGCTCGAAAAATCGTTTTGTATCCTTAAAGATTTCCACTAGCCAGTAACGAATACTGTGCCAACATCGGTACTAAAATAAATTCTATCATAACCGAAGGAAGATTAGTATGTGGTAATAGTTTTGAAACCTGTATAGCGAGGTCGTAAAATTGGTTGCTAATTAGAGTTTACATGTTCCGAGCGTGAATACAGCAATTAAGAGGAGACAAGGAACTCGAGCTCTTGTTAATCCTTAACAACTGCAGGTTAATTTTAACTAGTACAGCAATCGTCTGTGAGTAGAAATTGTAGGAATCAATTCACAAATGACCATTGCAGCCTGAAATTGATTGCATCGCCCAGAATGCAATTAAATTTATCGATATCTCCATTTAAGGCTTTAATTTACGCACTCACTGTGTCTCACTGCATCTCAGGGTGGATAGTATAACCTGGCAGGAAGTGATTCTGCGAAAAAAATAAGTCCTAAAAAGAGAATAAATGTTTTGGCGGCAGATTTAGAAACCGAACAGGATTTGGCTGACGCGTCTGTCCATTGCGAACCGTTTCTACTTATTGCCGGTACGAATACACGTGTTTATATGAACGTTTAAACCCAATTCTTTCGAAAACGAGACCACAGACGAAAAAATGTATTCTTCTTTTTCACGTTATTTCTTCTCATAGAATCACCTCCTTCTCGTTTGTACTACCCTACTCTGCATAGGTTCCAGTACCAAGCAAAAAAACACCAAATTCTCTCCTAGACCAAAACCCACAAAATAACCGAAACTACGAGATTCACTTGTTACTTCAATGATGTACTTTCGTCGATATCTTGCTGCAAATATCAATCAAAAAAATTCTGTCCCTCTAGTCAAACACCGTTAATAACAATCATCGAACTAATCGTCTATAATCGACACGTATCACTTACTTCTAAGACCATTCCGTACTTAATCCACCAGAAGCTATTACAATTATTAAAACTTCATAAGAAGGAAAATATAGTAATCTTCCATAAATCACTCGAAAATACCGGTCGAACGTCCAGAAAAACCAGATCGATGGCTTCATCATCGACGACATTCCCTTCCCATTCTGTTCCCCGCTGCCAATCCACTTTCGACCTGCAATTACTTCACGGTCGGAAATTGCTCGGTCGCGGAGGGGCGCGGGGGTGGAGGAACGTGGCCCCGAAGGTGGAGTCGTTGGGCCCCGATCGTCTTTCGATTCCGTTAGACCGGGCCGTCTGGTAGCGGGTGTCACGGAATAACGCTCGCAGTCGCCGCGGGCCGCGGCGGAAAAGCCGCGGGAGGCCACGTGAATCCTCCGTGCACACGCCACACGGCGAGGAGAACCGTAATTGCGTTTGACCAGGGCGTCGTCGTTCGATCGGACGCGATTATCGTCGCGATGCCCGCGAGCGGTTCCATCCTAGCGGGAGGAACGTGATAGCCCTGGAACGAGAATTCACTCGCTACCGTCCTGGATCACGACGACAATGTTCAGATGGAATTTAATGCGATCCACCGGTTATTATTCCCGACAATAAAGTAGAGAAATACACGTATACATCCAGCGTCAAGAACCTGAATTCCACGCTGGAAAGCATTCGTCAAGCAGCAGCTAATGAACACCTCCAAGTAACCTGCTAATACCCCGACGCAACAAGGTATCAACGATGACGCAGCCACGCAAAATTC